AGAGCCGCTTCTAAGGTCCTCTTCCGTATCTTCGGCATCACATTCTAGTAGGAAATCGGCTACCGCTTGCCCTTTAACAGCTGTTCTCGGCTCATACGTTATGTCAAATGAACTCAACTCTATGGCCCACTTTGTCATTCTACCCGAGAGCTCTGGCTTGTGCATAAGCGTTCTGATTGGGAAAGTTGTTAGAACAGCTATGGGGTGGGATTCGAAATAATGCCTCAACTTTCTTTTTGCATTTACAAGTGCAAGTACCACCCGTTCGGCCTTTGAGTATCTTTTTTCTGCCTCCATCAGTGTTTTGCTTACATAAAATACCGGGTATTGCACCCCTTCCTTGCAACGAATCAGAACGGCACTCGTCGCGACACCAGATACTCCAAGATATAGAAATAACTTTTCTTCCGGTTCTGGGGCTGATAGGACTGGTGGATTCTGCATATATTGCTTCAAATGAGTCAATGCCTGTCGTTGCTCATCCCCCCAGACCTGCCTTCCATGGCTCCGAATCGTGTCAAAGAATGGTTTGCAGTGATCTGACAATTTTGAAATAAATCGACTTAATGCAGCTATTCGTCCTGTTAGGGCTTGCACCTCTCTGATCGTCTTTGGCTCGGCATTCTTAATCAAAGCCTCTGCTTGAGCGGGGCTAACTTCGATGCCCCTGCGGTTGACCAGGTGTCCCAGAAACTGTCCGGAACTCACACCGAACGAGCACTTGGTCGGATTGAGCCTCATCCCATATCGCTTTAGTACATCAAATACCTCTTGCAGATGCTTCAGATGATCATCCTTTTTCCTACTCTTTACCACCATATCATCAATATAGGCTTCGACAATCTTACCCATTTGATTCTTAAAAACTTTGCTAACAAGTCGTTGATAAGTTGCTCCCGCATTCTTTAGCCCGAAAGGCATAACTTTGTAGCAGTATGTTCCTCGCTCGGTGACAAAAGAAGTTTTTTCTTCATCTGCGGGGTCCATAGGAATCTGATTATAACCTGAATATGCGTCCAGAAAGGTTAAACGCTCATACCCAGTGGTGGCATCCACCATTTGATCAATCTTAGGCAACGGGAAGCTGTCCTTCGGACAGGCCTTGTTCAAATTGGTGAAATCAATGCATACTCGCCATTTCCCATTTTTCTTCTGCACCACAACGACGTTGGACAACCACTCAGGGTAGTGCACTTCTCTGATAAATCCCGCATCAAGCAGCCTATCGACTTCTTCCGCTATGATCTGATTACGTTCTGGAGCAAATCTTCGCTGCTTCTGTTTCACTGGTTTGAAATTGGGATTGACATTCAGGGAATGACAGGATACGGAAGGACTAATTCCAGGCATGTCTAGGTGACTCCATGCAAATACGTCGACATTGTGGGACAAGAAATCCACTAGCTCTTGCTGCTCTTCTCTGGTCAGTCTTATACCTACTCTGGTAGTTCGTTCTGGCCTGGACTGATCGATCTGCACATCCAGAAGGGGCTCCTCGGTCAAGTCGACTGACTCCTCCACCCTATTCTGCTCGAGCGGAGGTTCCTGTAATTGCTATCTGGGGCTTGTCGAACGGACGGGCGCCTTTCCTTTCCCAGCATGCTTTAGTGTGACGGAATAACACTCTTTGGCTGCGACCTGATCCCCCCGAATGTCTATTACTTTATCTCCATCGGGCCCGAGGCACCTCATGACCTGATGCAGAGTTGAGGGTACACCTCGGACTCTGTGAATCCATCCTCTTCCCATCAGGAGATTATACGAGGGGTGAATTTCCACAACCACAAAAGTTTCCATAAGAGCTCGTTCTGCAGCTTGAACTTCCACTTCCACCATCCCGACGGGTTCCACCCTCTTCCCATCGAACCCTAATAAGGGATTTCCGGTGGGCTTGAGCCTCTCTGGTTTAATGTCGAGCCTGTCAAATGTGTCCTTCGGCATGACATTCGCACTACTCCCAGGATCGATCAGAACTCTGCGCACCAAGCAATCTGCCACTGTCAAACTGACTACCAACGGGTCGTCATGAGGCAGTTGAACACGCTGCAGGTCTGTCCAGTCGAACTTTATCTGCATTGACGGGCTCTGCTGGTGTAGAGTAGTCACATTGCCGACCCTTTTCTTCATCTGCGCCTGCCGCAGGCGCACCCGGAGCAGCTCATCTGACTCTTCACTAGGCTCGGGTCGACCATGGATAGCATTGATTATACGAACTGGTTGCGAATTGTGGGAGCTTTGTTTATGACTCCTTTTTATTTGTTCCACCGGTCGATTCTGCTCCATCGCCGAACCTTGAACATAACTCGCAAACTCCCCTCTAGCTATCAACATCTCCACTTGCCTCCTCAGGTTCCTGCATTCGTTAGTCTGATGACCGAAATCAGAATGAAAAGCACAATGTTTAGTTTGATCCCTCTGTTCGAGGGGTTGCCTAATTGGCAGTGGTGGATGAAACTTGTCTTTGTTCTCCTGATACAGCCTCGCCAGAGTGACCTTCAGCGGAGTAATCAACTCTTCCTCCCTGGACCTTTTTTCGGCCTTCCAGGTGGTCTGACGTTGCGGCTGAGCCTGCTTCTGCCTGATCTTTGCCTTGGACTTTTCCTCGGTCGACACAAGCGACGTTGTCCGAGCATTAGCTGCCTCCTCTTCTTCTAGGCGCACAAAGCCATCGGCTCTCTCATTGAGTTCATCCATAGTAGTCGGCGTGTTCACTACCAGACTGGTGTGAAATGGAGTTCCGCGTGTCATGGCTAACTTGAAGGCTTGAACTGCCGTTGAAGGGTGGCATTCGATCACCATACTCTTAGTGAGATTAAACCTGGTAAGAAAGGCCTGGAGACGTTCATCCTTGTGCTGCCGCATCGTGAATAGGCTCGAGATGTCCTTCGGCGGGCGTTTGTTCCCATAGTACTGGCTTATGAACCGATCGCACAGGTCTCTGAAACTACCAATGGAGCTCCTAGGCAAGTTTTTGAACCAGCTGAGCGCCGGTCCGGCCAGGCTTGTAGGGAAACATTTGCACATTAAAGAGTCGTTTTCTGTATTCAGGGCCATTTTCAACTGGATATGATACACATGGTCGATCGGATTGGTCGTTCCGTCAAACAGAATAAAGACTGGCATAGCAAACTTCCTTGGATGCGGCGCATTCAAGATCTCGTCGGTGAATGGCGAATCCACCGTCCGAGCTGCGGATCGGAGAGCTTCATTCTCTCTCTGGAGTCCAGCGGTAGCTCTGTGAGTTACGGTTCTGCCCTCCGAACCGTGATGAGTGACAGTAACCATGGAGGGCCGGTAAGACGGATCGAACGACCGTTCCTCTATGAACTCTCTTTGCCAAGGCGACGCTACTCGACGGCGATCAACCTCCATCACTTCCTCTCGGTCAAACCTTTCCCGCTGCGGATCAACGTGAGTCGATCCTTCGTGATCTTCAACTCGACGAACATTTGGCGGCAAATTGTCCATCATCCTTTCATCACGATGGTGAGCTGACTGATTGTTCTCGTCCTGATCGCCTTGATGCGCGATATTAGATTGAATACCTCCTTCTCCGACCGGAAGTGGATGCGAAACCGCAGGTATTTGCCGATGCTGCAGTCCAGCTTTCAATTCTGCATTTTCTTTTTTGAGAGCTTCAATCAAGTTCATCAATTCTTCAAGCTTTGTTTGCGGGACAGCCTCCATCGGATTGGAGCTTTCACCTATCATTATTCCCGAACGGAGTAAAGGCATTAATCTCAAGTTCGCGAGTAGATCTGAGCTTCGTGAGTAGGAATTTTTAGATCTGGCTTCTAATTCTCCGAATTATGCTCACTGTTTACGAGATCTGAATTGTCTGAACTCTAAATCCGTCAGATCCTGCCACAATCGAACAACTCGTAGATCTGAAGTCACTCCAAAGCTTCAAGAATTGTAATTCCTCCAGAGCAGGTCACAATCGCTCAGCTCTGGATTCAAATCCCAAAGATCGAGTCTCGATCAACCGAATTGGTTTGAATCCATTCGATATTCCTCATTGATCAACCAAACTTCCATGCGTTTCCCACAGACGGCGCCAATTGAAGATGCAAGAAATTCCTTCTCCTCCTTCTCTCTCTAGAATTCTTACACCTCAAAACCCAAAAAGATCCTCCTCCATTTCATTCCATCTCCTATTTATAGATATTTACAAGATATTTACAAGATATTTACAAAATATTTACTGATTGCTGGATCTGGGCCTATTCCTTCGTAAGCCTTGGTCACCTTTGATGGGCTTACTCTCGTTCGGCCCATATGGCAGTGTCCTTCTATGGGCTGGCCCAGCTGTACGGACTGAATGCTATGTTTGCGAGTCGGATCTGGCCCATGTCATCCGGGGCCTCCTCAGGCCCTTCCTGTACTAACTTGATGTGCTCTAATTGAGCCTGGGACTTTTTTGGAGCCTAGGTGCTCCTTTACCAACTATGCCCTTGAAAATAACATAGTTTTGTCAAATGACTTGAAGAACAGTCATTAACATAGAACCTGTGCAAGTTAGTTCGATATGAGATATACAGTTATGTTTGTGTCTTGATTTTTGAGGGTGGCGGGTTGCATGCCTGTACTCGTATCCACATCATAGTTGTAAATTGTAAATGTATATGCCAACAGCTTATGTAATAGAAATGTTTGATTTTTAGTTAGATTTTTAGCATAAAAAGTTTATACATCTAATTTACTACTGTAAGAATCTCTCGTGCAGCATGAGTGCTCTTCTATAAGCAACTAAAAGGGTCCTAACCATGATTGTGGTTTGCATTAGACTGCTTTCTGGTAGTCTCAAAACTTGCTTGTGTTTATATTCACAGGGAAATTTCGTCTTCTTGTAGAAGCTTGATTTTAGGTTCCTTCAAGGATACAAGACACTAAAGCAAAGTAGTGATGTAGATAGTTTTTTTTTTTTTTTTTTTTTTTTAGTCCTTCTAATTTCCCATTATTTGGTTGCAAGTAACTAAGTCATGACTTGTTTTGTGCAGCATCCAATTACTAACAAAAGAAATGAGCGAATGTGGGCAATGTCTAAATTTATTGAATGGGGATCACCCGTTTTAGCGCCCGAACGACCTTACTGTAAATTCCAGTTGATGGAGGGTGATTCCACAGGGTTTCCTCTGTATCGGTTACCAACAAACAGGAAGATGGGTACAGCGATGAAAATACCAGCTGCATTTTTTCTAAATGTAAAAGATTTTGCTTCCTTGGCATTAGCAATCAAGAGGGGGTTAACACGCATATGATTTGCCTAAGAACCGCCTAAGAACCATTTTCGAAGGTAAGAATGATTTCTTTCCTTCCTTTTTAAGATTGACATCATCTTTTTTTCTTTGTAATAATTTTTTGAAGAACAAAAGTGGCTTCTGAAGTAAATTGTTGTCTAAATCTTCTACTCCTTGTTACATGATGCGTGACTCAATTAGGCATTTGATTCCGTTTTCTCTTCTACAACTTTGTAATTGTGTTGTATTATTATTATTTAGAAATTAGATACAAAGGCAGTAGGCATTATAGGGCTATAGGCATGCATTATAGGCATGCGAAAAACAGTTTGGTTCACCAGATCATACGAGCAGGTACCTTGTGCAAGCTAAAAATAAAAAAATAAAATGTATCTGGACATTAAAAAGATTTACAAACTAGTGAGCTCAAAAACATTCATTCAAGGTGCCCAATACATATTTTTTATTTTATTTTATTTTTTAATGATTACATGGCAAAAAAAAAAAATATTGCAAAGCCAAACCATCTTGAAAGGGTAGCACAAAAGCTTTGTAATCCACCAAAACACAATTCCATTCATAGAGTTTAAGTTATTCAGTTAGCATTAATACTTCCACCAACTTGGGTGTCAGTAGCTGAAATCGTTTAAAAGGACGTTAAAACGTGTGACTACACTCAATGGAGAAATGAGACATGCAGAATTTCAAAGATAATTTTTTTTTTTTTTAAATTTTTTAAAAAATAGAATCATGGCCACTGGTTTCAGGAAATCAATAAAGAAACAACCCGTAGGCTTTGGAAAACCAATTTTCTCAAACCTAAATCAATTTTATAAACAACTCAAGACCCCTATTAAAGTGATAAAAATGTGAGCAAGTGACGTGACACTTGTAGAAGGTTTAAACTAAATGGGTTAAAACTTAAAAGTATATAGGAATCCTGCGGAACCCATCACATGCAAATATGTCTCCACTCGGAAAACCCCTCCGCATGCCAACAAGTGTTGCCCTTTTTGTACCGCCCATAATAATCCTATTGTTTAATGATAAAAAAATATAGTACTCCGTATTTGTTAAAAATAATATTTTGAATTATATAAAAATCATAACGAAATTTTTTTTTTTTTTTTTTGGAAGTTAAATCATAACGAAAGTTGATACTTCTTAGAAATGTATTGTGCACACCCTCCCAAATCCGTATCTTTGATGCTAAATTTAAAAAAAAAAAAGGTTAATTCCCCCCTACACCCCTGATCTTTGTCAATATTCCACTCACACCCCCTTTACGTTTTATAATTCCAGCTACACCCCCTGTCAGTAACCGCCGTCCAATCTATTAACGGAAATGTGTGCTTTTACGATATTGCCCATAAATTATATATTGATATTTATAAAAATTTATAACTTCCCTTACACCCATTTCCTCAGTTTTCTCCAACTTCATGGCCTCTTCCACAAGCACTCTTCTCTCTCTAAAATTAATCTTTTGTCTAGACGGAGAAAGAAAAAAAAGGTTAAATAATTTATAAATCCACCATATTCACTTACCATCATCTATATATATATATATATATATATATTTTTTTTTTTCCTTTTTCTTTTTCTTTTTGCGATTTCTTTTTGTATGTTGATCTGTAATTTTTTGTGGGGACTATAAGATTTTTCTTCCATTGGCAACCACCAATATATAGAGGGAGAGAGGCTACAGATATATATATACCCACATATACAGAGAGTGACAACAGACACATAGAGATGCTATATATATATTATATTCTGAATTTTTGATAGAGAGATGGTGTGTACATTTTGAGTTTTAGATTGAAAGACAGTGGGCTTGTGGGTATATATATATAGAGAGAGAGAGTGTGTGTGTGGGTTTAGGGATTTTTGGGAAATTAGGTGGTGTTTGGGTGTGTGTGATTGGGTGTAAATAAAAAAATAAAATAAAATAAAATTCATTGGGTGTTCAGATCAAAGTTGTTGCATATCCTGACAAATAATTATGATTTTTCAATTCAAACCAAGGACGCTTCATATACAAATTGGGCCAAAAATGAACGTAAATCATATACAAATTGAGCCAAAAACATAATACAATGAGCCAGACAAAAATTAAAAATCAGAGAGGTCCAAAACCTTGATCTTAACAGTAAACTTCATCGAGGCCTTCTAAATATGAAATTCATTTAGAGAACACAAGTCAACGTGGTTATTAAAGATCAGTGGGAGGCGTTGAAACTCCATGGAAACAACTGAGAGCTTCATCTTCACAAACGTAACGATGGCCATACTTGGATCGGCGGCGATGAGGGCCTTCGCGATGGCCATCCTCTTGATTATTGTTGCTGAGATTACTGCTCTGTAGCGATCTGGAGCAGCCGGTTTCACCGGAGGCAGACGTGGCACGGGAAACAACGTGTTTAGGTTTTATACTGGCGACGCCCCTGGACTAAAGATCTCACCCACCGCTGTCCTCGTCATGAGTACATCGGGCTTCATCACCACCCTCCCCGTCGTCAGCAAGCTCTACGACTACCTATCCAGAGCCGGAGCTTAGTTTTCCGGATCACCTGAATTAGGAACTTTCTGTTGGGAGTCTGCATAATCATAGGTTTGGATTATATGGGTCTTATTTCCAAAGTTTTTTGTTTTTTTTTTTTTTTTTTCTCTGGTAGTGACGATGTGAGAGGAAGACAATGATATATATATATATATATATATATATATATATATATATGTGGTATTGTTGTCCTTTTGATTTTATAAGTCAATGGTAGTTTTGTAAATTTGTGTTGGCCAATGAGGTTAAAGATGTTATTTTAGACATTAAAAAAAGGTAAAATTGACCTTGCATCAATTTTTTCTTATGACATCACCGCAATGCGTTTCTTAACGGCAGGGGACAATTTGTTACCCAGAACAAAACTTTAAGGGAGGTAGTTGAAATTATGAAATGTAGAGGGATTGTAAGCGAGATATTGACAAATGTCATAGAGTGTAGTGAAATTAATCCAAAAAAAATTGTCCACTTTGCATGGCTCTTATCGCTTATTTTATCAGATCTATTTCTCGGCTCCTCCAGTTATGTGGGAGATTGCAATCATCCCTCTTATGCGTGACCCTTTTGGAATGGTGTACAAGTCCACGAGGCACGGGAGGAGGGTGTTTGTAACCTCACATCACTTTAAAAAATAGTTTAAGGATACTTATACGTGTAAACACCTCTTAATTATATATATATATATATGGACATGATTTGAAAAAAATCGTACACACTTAAAAACACAATATACATGTAGTGCCGGCGAAATCTCGATATATATAAACAAATATTAAATGTGTTTCATAATTTTTTAAAAAAATTATTAATTTCAAGAATTCAAAAGCACCCGCCTTACATGGGACTGAATAACATTTGACATATATATATATATAGCTCACAGTTCAGATTTTGTACCCGTGAAATTATATTCTTTACATATTCAGTAAATACACGTTTGTTATTAAAAACACTCAAAAATCTCTAAACATTGGAAAAATTCTAGGCTTTGTTTGGTTAGATGGAAATAAGTAAGGATATATATATATATATATATATATGAAAGAAAAGTGAAGTGAATGAAAGAAAAAATTATTTTCTAACATGCATTTGGTTAACATGAAAATAAAAATTTATTCAATTTATTAATTTGTTATTTTGGATAGCATGAAAGTGATTGAACATACCAAAATTACTCTCATGATTTCAAATACTAAAAAATAAATGTTTGTATTTGATAATATCTATTTTTAGCAAAGAAATAATAAAATGGTGGATTATTAAATTTAATAATATAATTATTTATATTTAAAATAAGACTTCATAATATTTTCTTAGGTAGAAGTATAACTAATTATAAATTTAAGAAAACCGATATTAAAAAAAAAAAAAAAACAATACTAATTTTTAAGGGAGATGTAATTGTATGTTGTTGTTGCTATTTTTATATAAACTTGTGGGAAAACAAAGAAAGAGTTAATTTGCAAAAAATTGGACTCATAGAAATGAGGGACGGTCATAATAAAGTTTACAAGTCATTTTCAAATATGGAAACAAAATATTCCATTATGTATCTTTTTCCATCTATCCAAAGTCCAAAATTATTTTTTTAAAATTTTCTCTTTTATTTCTTTTCCAGTTTACCAAACAAAGCGCCGGGAAATAAATTTCTTTCCCCCTTTTTTTTTTTTCTTTTTCCTTTTTGGGCAATTAAGGCCCACGAATAATGGGCTATTGGCCCAAATAAGAGGGCAGGGTTGGAGCCTGGGCTAGGCGACACGTGTACGACATCCAATGCGCCCTGTGTAATTCGATTTGAGTAGAAGAGGAGAGACACGGTAAATAGGTTAAAATGAATGAGCCTCATTTGTGATTTTAGAAATTTTATGGGGTTAATCGAAAACCAATACAGAGGGTTTTAAAAGGGTTTCATCGTTTATACGCAGTAGTCGCTTTGGCTTCTTCACCTGTTCAAATTGGGATCGAGGTTAGGGCTTTTCTCTCTACTTTCAGGGCATTCAATATATGAAACATGTACCAAATCGATAGATTCATATAAGTATTAATCTCCTGATACTCAACTGCATTAAAAAAATAATAGAAATGAATGAAAATTTCATATATATATATATAAGTTTGTGTGCATATCCATCATGAATGTATGGGGATGCGCATGTAACCAAATAAGGATTTAGACAGGGCAGTCTCACCTATGCGCCCCCTTCTATTTCGAAATCACGTACTAATTCGATGTAAAATAGGTCAGAACACAATCGTCTATTTATACATATCAAATGTGAGCCTCTTTTTAGTATGCACAGCAGTCTTTTTTGTTTGGTATTTAGTGCCTGAAGAAGTTTTTTTTTTTTTGGGTGCACTGGAAACTGTTGAGTCTTGAAGTATTAAGTATATAATCCTTTTGGGTCTCAATTGTGTCATAATTTTTTGTTAGAGAATTTATCAGAGGATGTTGTTTCTGTCCGTGTATGAAGGTTTTCCTGATACCAAACGGTTGTGCAAGGAGCTGAGTGCAAATATTCAAATCGAATCAAAATGCTTCAGGTGTGGATTCAATCTGAAATGTTATATCTCTCTTTATCATGTAATTAAGCTATGCATTTGGTTTACATGCCCGCGATGTAGCTGCAATCTATAGTTTCCGCAGCTTGTTTATTTAGCTGTTGTCACAGCTTGACTACATAACTTATTTAGCTTGTGTTGCAATCTTTTTTTTATTTTTTTATTTTTTTTTTATTTTTTATTTTTTATTTTTTAATAAAGTGGAGTCTTGCTTTTGAACTTCACACCATTGCTTTTTACATTATGTTCTTCCGTTTTGTTCGCTTGTAATATATTACTGTTTATAATCTTTTCTGTTATTTTGAATTTATTCTTTGATTTTGCTTTATTTTCTCTCAAGTTGTATTTGTACATACAAATTCTATTTTTAAAATTTTGCTAACCTCTGTGTGACTTTTTTTGTTTTTTTGTGCTCATGTGTACTGATGCTACCTCTTGACAATGACAGATGGATTTGCCAGACGTTTGTTTTGACGAAAATATGGATTTGGAGATGGAAATTGAGATCAGAGAAGTCGTTGATGTGGATGACAGGCCTGGATTTATTGCCCTAATGAAATCCCTATATGGAGAACATTTAGCAAGGACAAATAAATTGGGGAGAGATGCACCAGAGACTATTGAAGCTACATATTGTCCACCCGATATTTTTGATTGGGTCTGTATGTATGGCGCATTAGATTGCACCAAAGCTTTACTTGAAGGAGACCCTTTCATAGTAGATCCTAATCTTCCTTTTAAAGTTGGATTATATCCATTGCATATTCTTGCTGAAGATTTCTCGTATGATATGATTGACTTATTACTTCGCCACGGGGCTTGGACTGATGTCAAAACCATAGAAGGCGAATACAGGGGTGACTTGCTGCCTATTGATATAGCACTTCAAATGTTAAGGTAGTTGTTATGTTTTAATTTTGTTTCTGAGTTGTTTGATAGAGCCCATAAAATAAGCCATTTGATCCACACACTATATCTTCTTTTTTCCTTCTTGCTTGATTATACTTTTTGTTTGTCTGGAGCAGTTATCATCGATGCCTGTCTAATTGGACTCCAAAGCAGTCTATTTTCAAGTTGATTGTTATTCTTTCCCTGCCGCAAATGGTTTGTTCTTGCTACAGATTTAATTTGTCTTGAAAGAATATTTTAGCTTATATATGCATGTGATTGGGAGTAAATGAATAGTTGCTTATTATATTTAAATAATGCTTGTGCAGAAAGTACCATTAGAAACCAATAGGTTGCTTGCATGGAACACAAAGGATGTCAGTAATATATTTTACAATTATGCTATAGAGGGAGAACTTATTCCAATGGCTGCTCTGCTGATGGTGGCTCGAGAAAAGATTATGGCTCCGAGCATGCTGCAGAGCAAAGATAGTACTGGTGTAGAAGGAGGCATGATGATCCACCAATGCATCCTTAAAGAGATTGCATTACTAACTGACGAGGAGGTGGAATTAGTGGGCAATGTTAAAGATTCTACTCATCGTCTTAAGAATAAGAAGGCAGCGATGAATATGGCGCTGCTGTTGCTTAAAGTTTTTGATAGGGCTGGTGATGCTATTGAAACATATAGGCAGTCTGTACGATATCATGTAAGCTGTTCGTATACTTGTTTTTTGATCTTTGTGATTGTTTCTTAGTGTTCACTTCAACCCTCATTATGGTTGGACCAGCTGGATGTTTACTACTAATTTTGAGTGTTGGTTTTTTGTTGAAAAAGGTTACTTTCCTGTACTTTACCCCCCACCCCCCAAAATCAGAACTTATATTTCTATGAGTCCTTTTGATTTTGACATTACACTTCCCTGAAGTTCTTTTTTCTTTCGTTACAGACGTCAAAAGAAATGGTGGTGAAAGACATCAAAGCGCTGCTTCAGGAATCGGGGATTGTTTTGGCGGACAAAGACATAGACTTGAGTGACATAGACTGGTTTGATGCATTTTAATTTGTTAAATTAATGAATTTGAAAATTTTATGCTATTTTTTTTTTTTCCCATTCTTGAGTTTCATCTTTTTTTTAAATAAAAATAAGCTGGAGTACTCTAATTCATGTTTTTTTCTTGTGACATTATGATAATGAATAGTGAAAGTGAAGAGATCAAGCTGGCAACAGAAGTGTTAGGTGATTTAGTGATTTTCTTCAATAAAAGTCTTCCTTCCTTCAGTGATGCAAAGCAAAGCATATTTACAAAAGAATTACATTTCACTTGTCCGATTACACCATCTTTTCTTTTTTCACAGAAAAGAGAACATCATTTAGGTCTCAAATTCAGGATCTTGGCATGCCACTCCACTCATCGTCATGCCATTTTTCCCCGACAAAGGTGAGAAGTATAAATGTCATTGTTAAATTTTCCCTCTTTCTGATATCGAATTGCCACACCCATGATAATGTAGAAAAAAGCTTTTAACAACGTAAATTCTTACCTGAATAGTTTATGATAAGGAAATCTCATGTTTGATTACTTGTAGAATAAGCATGTCCTTGCAACAATAAAAAAGTTGGTTTTTTCAGAAGAAACAATGTTTTCATATAATTTTAAGCATTATAAAATTTGATCACAGAGATTATATTATATCTTCCTCATTTACTCAACCCAACGAGCAAATGCTTGTCTGTTGGTTGAAATTTATGTTATTTGAATAAGCCTAAATAAAGTTTGATATGAACAATCTGATGTACTTATGATCATGGGTGGCTGGAGCCTTAGGCGGTCGCCTAAGGCCCCAACCAATAGGATTGTGTGATTCAATTTGAAACCATATTTTGTAGCTATTCTTGATATACAGAATGTCTCTCTGATGATTGTGCAAGAGTTTGAACCTTTGAACTAAAATATAAGTACAAATATATGATTGTTTTAATAAAATTATTTTATAAAACTACTACTTTTTAAGTAATTATCTAATTACGTCATATTACTGGGTTATTAAACAACTCATTGTTACACTTCAACCCAACTTTTTTTCTAAAACTGTCTTAAAAATCCCAATATACCCGAAGAATGGGACACGTGTGTCGGACACATATCCATGGCGTGTTCGTACCATGTCCGAATATTCGGGAAAAAAAAAAAAAAAAAAAATTCGGACATGTTTTTGGGCATGTCTAACACGTGTTGGGGCATGTCGGTGTCCGACATGTGTCGGACACAGATTCTTTGTCCTTTTAGGTGTGTCTGTGCTTCCTACACTTTATCTTAGTTGTTGTGGACAGATTCTCTAAGATCCGCTTCATTTTTTGTAACAAAATAGGCTATGCTTCGAATACACAAAATTGTTTTTTAGGAATGGGTTACCTACTTCCAAAGTGTCAGATAGGGATGTTAAGTCATCCCTTACTTTTGAAAGAAACTTTAGAAGCTTTGTGGAACCAAACTCGAATTCTCCACAGCTTCAATGAAAACAAATTTATAATAGGGAAACTGCATATGGACTTGGTAGTCCCAAATAACCAATTTGTGGACTGTGTGTTGATTTTTCACTTCGGTTGAGTTAGCAAATTATTTTCAAATACATGGAGAATCACTGTTAACTCTTCTTTAATGTTTAGAATGCTCTCCAACTTTGATTGTGAAGTTACCAAACTAGCCTCAGTTAAGTAGCGCACAAAAAATCGTACTTTTTTAGGGTGCTAAATTAGTAAGCCCGTATACTAGAAATAGTATGTTTGTTTACTAGAAGTGGTACCTTAGTTTTGTGCTAGTACAAAATAGTTTTAACGATGAAATACAACACCACATTTTGTACTTTTAGTTACTGTTTTTTGTTCATAAACATACTAGTTTTAGTTTGGTAATTTCAAAATGAGAGCTGGACCGAGGGCATTCTGGACAAGATGCATTTTGAAATTATTTTTCAAACTCAACCTAAGTGAAAAGTGGACTTCTATGTCTAAGGTGGCGGATGTGTGTTAAAAACCTTCTAGAAATATGGAATAAATTGGAATTCATGATGGTGATCTTTATTATGCTTTTGAGTTTGTTTAATGTATTTATCAATGGTGGAGATGTAAGGAGACATATTTGCAGTTGATCTATTGCAATAGGTATCAGGCTTTCAAATTCAGTGGTGCAAATGGAATTTAGGGATTGTGTGTGATTCAATTTGAAAACATTTTTTGTAGCTATTCTTGATATTCAGAATGTCTCTCTGTCTTTTTGTTTGATTGTTGTATGTGCTAATGGTTCTATAAAGTTTGTGATACAATATTATTCGTATTAGTTCTATAGACTATGCATGTATTTGTTCTGTATTATACATGTTTTTTATATGGACATTTTTATGAGCATTGAATTATTACTAAATGCATTATTGTCTGCATGGTGTATTGCCGTAGTCTATGATGTAGATTGGGTGGCAGAGTGCCCCAACTCTCTTACGTTTTTTAGGTTTGTAGGCGCATTAACATGCTTAATTTTGCATGTTTAAGTGTATTGTATTTGGGGTTTTTGCTGCTTGAAATATCAAGCATTGGATAAACATTTTCTTTCCATTCATTCTCTAAGTGCATCATGGACTACTCGTGTTTAAGACAATTCTTGAAGTAATCCCTATGTTCTCAGTTAATTTCTATCTGATCCTTGATATTGATGTACTTTATCAATGCACCTTGCCCTTGACCTTGTGCAGTTTTGTCAAATTACTTGAAGAATAATCATTAACATAGAATATGCAAGGTAATTCGTGCATATATTAGTACACATATACAGTTCTGTTTTTGTGTCTTGATTTATTAGGGTGGCTTCACTTGCCCGATAAAGGCAAGGATGATGATGATGAATTTACCACTGTAAGGGAATCTCTCGAGTCTCGAGCGGCATTTCCATAAGCAACTAAAACAGTCCTGACTATTATGTTTGTGAAGTCTTTCGCTAAAACAAAAATAAATAAATAAAACAAAATTACCGCTTGTCGTTTGCATAAGACTGGTTTCTAGTAGCGTCAAAACTTGCTAGTGTTGTATTCACATGGAATCCATTGTCATCTTGTTGTATAAGTTTGGTTTTTTGAAGGATATAAGACACTAAAGCAAAGAAGCGATGCAGATGAATTTTTTTTCTTCTTATAATTTCTTATCATTTGGTTGCATAAGTAACTAAGTCATGACTTGTTTTGTGCAGAATCCAGTTACCAACAAAATTAATGAGCAAAGGTGGGCTATGTATAAATTTCTTCCATTAGCATCGCCTGTTATAACACGGGCACGACCGGACTATACATTCCAGTTGACGGATAAATTCACATCCGCGATACCTTTTTACCGGTTACCATTGACGAAGAAGAGGATGGGACCAGCGAGCAGAGCGATGAAAATTCCACCTTCGTTTCTTCTGACTTTAAAAGATTTTGCATCCTTTGGATTAGCAATCAAGAGAGGGTTAACACGCATATGATTTGCCTAAGCACCATTCTTGAAGGTGAGAGTGATATCTTTCCCTCGATTTTCTGGTTCAAGGGAATTTGCCCATCAAATCATTAACATAGAACGTATCCCGTGCACTAGTTTTGTCAAATTAATTGAAGTTTGGGAATTTGTACAACAGTAGAAGATTTGCACAACAATTGAAGTTTGGTTCCCATGGTTTTTTGTTAATGACATTCATACAGGTAGATTAGTTTTATTTATTTTGTTAAATGCCATTGATGAATGATATTTGGGAAATTGTTTTTATTCTAGGTTGATGACACCATGTTCTTTCCTCGTTGATTTTTTTTTTTTTTTAGAGATTTGCAGTGCGACCAGGTTCGATATTCGTTTTTAATAGGGGCTGGCAAATGGGCAAACTGGGGTGGGTTTGGCGAGTCAGAAAATGGACGGACAAATCCAACCCCAACCCAACACAGATACCCACAGGCACTGTTATTCTCATTCTTTAGTCCTACAAATTTTTTTTTTTTAAACGGTAAAAATTGAAAATTCTTTTTTGTTTTTAAGCATCAAGTGACATCCTAACCATGTTCAAAGGACATATTGATTGGACATGGGGTCAGTTTTAGCCCGATTGGCTTAAATCCAACCCCCAAACTTGTTTTGTTTGTGGAGTTTGGATACTCCTCCAACATACTTAAATTCTGTCAAACATTTTTATTTTTTGTGTTTAAATATAAAATAATTGTGTTGAAACATTTAAATGTTGAAAAACGTTACAACACCTCGTAGCAGAGGATCCGGACTCTTTTGTTCTAAAACTGAGAAAAATGATCCAAATAACGTGTTTTATCTACTTCCCGAGATTCAACTTAGATCAGTTTTTAGAATAATCAGCACAATGACGTGAAACATAATCATAAAATGCTACAGGAACAAAAGGCTCGAAGACAAAGGCCTCTACTGTCGACACTGCTGATGAATACAAATAATTCATTGTTTAGGAAAATGACATGAAGAAGAGGATGTTGTGTGTCAAACAAATTTTAAATGTTCAAAAAATAAATAAACTACAATAATCAAACACTATAGAGATTAACTTAATAAATAAATGGTCACAACACAAATTCGCTTCAAATGGTCACACCATCATTGGATCTCTATCTGATTAAGTTAATATCTATCTGATTAAGTCACACCACAAATTCGCTTCAAATGGTCTAGATTGATAACTTTATAAGTAGCAATAACATCATCATTGGATGTTTTATAATAGAATTCCTAAAGCCTAATAATTTGCATAATTTATTAGTGCCACAATTTGAAGATTGCTAGCTTTCATGTAGAATTTATATCAAACATGCAACAGAACTAAATCATGGCACCATATTTTTAATCTCGAACATAAAAGGCTTAATTTCACCTAAGCGCCTTGTATAGTTATTTCATCACTCTTCACGCAATACAGGCATTGACTTGTTTTAAAATTATAATATGATCAAACTCACTCATAAAATATATATTTTTTTAATTACACGTCGAACCAAAAAATTCAACACATATTTTACACTCATGTTTAATATTGTGTGCGAAATATAAATATTTTATTACGTTTGAAGAGTAATTATAAAATAATGCTCAGTGCACAAAGTACAGAAACTAATTTTTATCGAGATTAAAGATTGTAGTTCACCACAGAATTCTGATCGAGATTAAAGATTTTGGTTCACCACAGATACTCGAGAGGTGTTTACAGAGGAGGAGGATAGACAAAGCTTGTGGTGGGACCCACCTTGTGAACTGTTAATCATTTGCTGACATCTGTGATTCTAGCTTTTAAAAGAAGCGCCTAATGATAAAAGTGACTGACAAGTTTATAAAATTTTCATGTGAAGGGGGTCGGATTTTAACACGTTGCAAAGCATCCAAATTCATGTTTGTCCTGTTCCACTTTTCGGTGGCTTGTGATGGCAGGAATATTACATGCCTCTACCATCTAAGTTTGTACACAGGGACGTGTAAACCATTTGCTTACTTTACAGCACATAGAATGTAATTATTTTTGTGTTAAAAAATGAGTAAAAAACCAAATTATTATTATTATTATTTTTTTTTGTGTGTGTGTAAAAATAGTCTCATATTTTCTTTTGAAAGGACTGATACACAATCAAATAAATATATATATTTTGGTTCAAAGAGATTTGATATTATACCCTTGTAAGTAGTTATGATTGAAATATTACATACAAACTATTATGAATTTATGAAGCAAATGTTAGTGTTGTTTCATTCTTTTATTTTTGAAGAAGGATATATATATATATATATATATCACCGTTATCTTGTTTATGAAAACATAGTGGAGAGAAAATTGTAAAATTGATGAATTAACCAATATGATAATTTTATTACATGCTTGAGTAGCAAAAATTAGCGTAGCATTATGTGTAATGCTGTGATTATAGTAAATAAAGATAGGACCATAATTTTTTAGGCAAATAATATATATGTGTGTATATATAATAAAAAAAAAAAGAAAAAAAAAAGGAAAAAAAGCATCTATGTAGCGTGAGCATGTTATACAAGAAGTTGACACACATACATCTCTTTAACATGCTTTTTGGTTAAGGAAAAGTTAAACTGTACCATAATCTATATGCTCGCTTGTTACGTGTCTCTTCCTACACTCGCTATAGAAAACCGTTGTAACAACATAGCTCCAAACCACCACCAACCCGAACAAACAAATCATACCCGCTTTGTTCCCCAGCCCCATAGCAACCGTCCATTCTGCCCTCGACGAATCTTCACCGTCCGTTGACCGCTTTATTTCACCACTGATTGCACCCGACACCACAACCAACAAACCCGATAGGACCCACCCACAAAACTTCCTGCCTTCCATGAGGTCCGACCCGGCCCAGACTGCGTCCAAACCAACCCGCTCCTCCACGATAGAGACCACGAGGCCTAAGCTAACAACCGCCATCAAGTACACCTCAAGAACCGCCCCGGCCACCGCCGCAGGGAGTCTCAGAGCCGCCGTGCTAAGCAGCGCCGCTAACATGCGCGGTACTTGAATGCACACCAGCATGATAGCGTACACACATATCGAGGTCACCAGCGGCCTCCTCCACGTCGCCTTGACGGCCGTAACCGCCGTGGAGAGGCTCGCGCGCTTGCCGGATAATGACACCGCGGTGGAGCTCACGGCCATTACGGTGGCGATGAGTGAGAGAACGTAGCATGGGACGAAGTAGAGGGCCTTGAGGCGGAGGAGAGAGAGGGCTTCCTCGCGTGACTGTTTCAACACTTGCCGGGCCTCAAAGCGTGTGGGGGCCACCATGGCCAGAGCCTCGAGGTGGTAGATTTGGGACATCATGGGGTGGGACGAAAGAGAGAGCGAACAGAGGAGAAGGGAGAGTGGGAGGGTGGTGAGGGCAAATATGGAAGAGAACAATTTGAGGTTTCTTTGGAAAATCTTGAAGGAAGTGAGTAGTGTGGTGAGAGGGGCCAAACACCAATTTTCTTGGGAAAATTCGTCGTCTCTTTCCAACATTTTCTGTTTCTCTGTCATCACTATATGCTCTCTGTTTCTTGAATTCTTCTGTAAGCACTATATTCTCTTTGTTTCTTCAATTCTTCAGTAAGCACTATATGCTCTCTCTGTTTCTTGTTGTGTGTTTGGAATCAAATTCGTTTTAGAATTTGGAAAAGGAATTGAATTATAATTAAAATAGGATTCTTTTTGCGGATCGAATTGAAATTTATAAAAAAGAAATCTTACAAAAAGCAATACATCTAAATAAGAGTTATTAAAGTTATGAAATAGCTTTTATAGAAAGAGAGACGTTAACACAGTTTTTAGGAGGTTAATTTTAGTAAGTTAAAGTAGTTGGTTACTAATTTTCTTCAAATTCCTTTAATTTTTTCATCCAAAATTACAATATTTCCTTTAAAATTCATTCCAATTTCATTCTCTTTTAAAATCCGGAGGTTCCAAACAACCTTATGAAATTCAATTCCCATTAATTCCTAAGAATCTAAGACACAGTTGAAATTCTTTTGTAAGCACTATATGCTCTCTGTCCTTCCATTACTAACCTCATGTATTTATTTTTTCTTATATGATTGGAAGCTCAAATATGAACACATTCATTTAGAAAATTAGGTCACTCTGTAATACAATACGTATCATTTACTCGTGATCATACTACAAGTATGAGTAATATGGACCCTTCAAATATGTAACAAACAGAGTAGAGTCCGGACGCATATCCTGCACACATACATATTATTTGTAGTGGGATGGACAACTTGTGCGAATTGCATTGGATTGAGAAAGACATGGGCTACTTTTTTTTGTTAGCATTCTAGCAAGGTTGCTTTTGCCTTACAATTCAAGGTCTAATTAGATTCCAGAACAGTAATTGATACATATACTTTTTATTAAAGGTAAAATCTTTATGATTATAAATTATACCGAGAACAATGTGAAATAGTAACCTTCTTTTCGGCTGTGAACCCATTCACACTAGGGAATAAACTTAAACTGAACGAATAAAGAATTTCTTGTATAAACACGGGAATTGTTAACTTTGTCTATTGTACACTTTTTATAGACGAGTCGATGTCAATCGTTGCTCAAGTTATGACAGTTTTTATAGACGAGGGTGTTGGATGAATATAAAATTAACTAAATGGGGGCAATAACTCATTTGGTACAAGTCGTCCTCCTCTTTTTGAAGAGGTTGAAAGTTCGAGTCTAATTATGTTTTAGCATAACAGTCTTGTATAATAAAGACCCTTCTAAATTAATTTCTAATTCCACTCAAAATCCTCATTCTGTAGTTCGTACAAACCCTTGATGGTTGTATGAATGAAGTCATTCCTTAAATGGTTCCATCCAAAGGGAAATTATAGATTTTCCAGGACAGCTTACTCATTTGATGAAGGCTCGGCCCAGTGAATGGTTTTAGGGTTTTTGCCATAAGCTGAGTAAATGGGCATATGGTTTTTAGATTTATGCATCAGCCCAACTTTTAACATTTTTGGATCAGTTTTGTCTAAAGTCAGGCCCAGAAAGAGAAGCCCGAATCTTATCTTTTTTTGGATTATGCTAACAGCTCCAATGGGTACATACACCCCAGAGTATACATTTAAACGATAAAGTGTACAAAATATAACATGGATCACATTTGAATACTGGCATGCACAGTCATAAAACTTCTCAATTATTTGCTTTATTTTCCGAAAAAAAAAAAATAAAAATAAAAATAAAACTTCTCAATTATTGGCATGTACAGTTATTAAACTTCTCAATTATTTTAATAATTTTTATTAAAAATTATTTATTTATTTTAGATGGATCACATGTAAGGGGTATTTAGGCGACATTCTTAAAACTAGCTAAGAAATTATAAAATCACAATTAAAAATTAAGTATTTAATAATTTAAAAATTAGTTGTAATTATTTTAAATTGCTAGCATATTGTAAAATAGGTATACTTAAGTCAACAAGAAGATGCTTTCCTAACTCCAGCTCAAGAATATTAAAATAGGAGAGAGAGAGAGAGAGATTTAGTGGGTGGGTTTTGAATATTATATAAGGGTATTTTTGTCATTTAAATTTATAGATAATTTGTATTAAAAAATAAGAGTAAATGGGTCAATTTGCATGTGTGAGACCCAAAAATTAATTTAGAATATAATTGAAAGTTAAAATCAAAATATTTATTTATATGATATTCGACTTAACTTAAAGCGGTGGTAATGTAATTAACCCTAAGAATTAATATCAATGCATGGCTTGGTGGATATAATGTATGTGGCAACCTTGTGGGCGAGTGTGTGTGAAAGTGTGCAGGTTGCACCAGTAGACTGCTACACTGAGCGAGGTGCACAATTCTACATCGTCTGGGTGTGGATGGGGCAATTATTATATTCAATACCCTTCTATGACACAACGCGTTTTAAAACCGTGATGAATGTGAACCCATCATAATTTCAGAGTTAAGCGTGCTCGAAAAATATGCCGTGTAAGCCACATAACAAAAGGTAGAAATTTCTTTTAAGGATTCAAACTTTTGAACATATGCAAATGAAGAGCAACAAAACACATCTAATTTTCTTTTTCATTTTATGAACTACATTGACTTTTGGAAAAGACTAATTATGAATCAATACAAGTAAATTTTCAAATCATGAAAAGGCGTTAGAACTTTTGAATTCATCTGATTGGTTCCAATTTCGAATTTGATTATTTTTGGCTAGCAGAGGATAGCCTGAAAATACAGGCCACAGAACCGGTCTAAAAGTTATTTTATAATCTATCACACACAAATTAAAAGCTGCAAAACATCCATAAACTTGTAATTACTAGCTCAAGATTAATCAGAATAATAAATCAGAAGATGGGATTTTCACGTTCTCTTTGGTGGTGAGTTATGATATATCTTGCCATCTTTCGGATTTTCTGGTCATCTAATATGTCACCAACATTAGTTGGTATCATTGAATCATCACATCTATAACTTCAAATTTGTGAAAAAAAGAAACTACACACACTATAAATTCGTATATGCCTATTTAATCAAATAACAATGATATGTTATATGGAAAGAAATGAGACATATTATATAATGTCACAATTTTATCCCCTTTCATGATAACTTATAAATTGAATTCATGCAGGGCTTTGGCTGTTAGACGTTGGATTTTTGTAGTAACTGATAACTTGCCACCTATATAAATTGTTGCTTTACAAGTCACACCCTAATGTCACCTATTTATAGGTACTCTACAAAACTTTTTTACTATAGTATTAGAAAACACTATACAAAGTTTACAAAAACTCTCCAAATTTATAGAATATTCTCACACTTTTTACAATATTTCACATCTACACATATGTAGAAGACTATAGAATTTAACTCTTTCCACGCAGATGCCATAGAGAGTCTTCCTGAGCAATCACATGTTACTTCTCTTCAACAAGGCCGATATTTGGATTGTGTCTAAATCGAGGCCCAAAAAGATGAAGCCCGAGTCCAAACTATGGTTGAATTGTGGTTGGAAGCTCCTACTGGCACACCACACAAGAAGTGGGACCAGGTGGTGGAGGGGAGGACATTTAAGCACCAAAGTCTACTGGGCTTGGTAAGTTTGGAGTCATTTCAATTATGTCCGACTTACGACACGCGTACAAACTACAAACAATGCCCAAGACTTGTTGCCAAAAAAAAAAAAAAAAAAAAAAAAAAGTCGTAATTTATATTCCATAAAAGTTTGGCTGGATTAAATGGTGTCCATATGTGTGTATGCCGTGAAAAGTCACATTATTGATCTCCTTTGTTCACGTACCCCACGTCAAGGATTGTACTATTACTTTTACTCTGAATTGAAATTTATCATCCTCATTGAAAACTATAAAAAATGTGGTCCGAAAATTTCTCCAACAATTTGTGTGGCAGATTGGATTGACTAATACACATCTACGGTGGCATGAAATGTAAAGTTTGGCACGGCTGCGGATAGTTACGTGCACAAGAAAATTGGTTATACGAATTTGAACGCTTATATGGACCAATTGATTGGTGATGTTGTAAATTCAAAATTGGAATAATATAGCTAATTGCAGAACAACACATTTTAGAATAATAATAAAAAAAGAATTCTCTTTTTCTAAAATCCCCAATACTGGAGGAAATAACAATTTTGTAGATGGAGTTCACTAATGCAACAAAGTTTATTTGATTGTTTCAAACTAATTAACTATGCTGTAGTTTAATCTCCATAGTTAAGATACTAAATTTTATAGTCACATGGATATTAAAATTTTGCCACAATGAAAGCCAAACTCCATACTCCAATTAAGAACAATAACCACAATATACAAACAAGTTTAAGTTGTGGGACATTTGGAGATTAATGATCTCCAAGTAAGTTCATTGCATATTCCTTTTGATTGCTTCACAAATTCAAAGAATTGCTTCAAAATCAAGCTTCCTTACGTCCTCTTGAAATTAAAACAAAATTAGTTCTAAGTTTTAATAATATTTGTTTTAACACTATATATATTATATAATGAATCTTTACCAGAAAAAAAAAATTGGGCATTCTTTTCCTAATTCATTCATGATTGCTCAGTAAATATATGGCACATCGGTCCAAGTCTTGGTCTTGTTAAGCTGGTTTGAAGTTTTTGGTATTGCAGGTCCAAACTAATTTTTTTTTTTTTTCGTAGTTAAAAAATAAATAAAATAATAATAAAATAAAATAGTTAGTATTTGTATCTGGTAATTATTACTCTTTCTCCTAGGCTTACAAGTTTGATCATTCTAGAAGGCGCAAGTTAAGATGGTTAGAAAGATAATTACCAACAAGTACATAATACTAATGTGACAACAGGAACACTTAGCCTCCGCTTCCAAGAAGAAGTCATTTTTGTCAGAATTACAAAACGTGTAAAGACCGTTTTCTGGAAGAGAAGGGTGGTTTGGTCCTATAAATAGAGACCATTATGCACAACAGAATTGAAATAACACAGTACTATAGAAGAAGATAATAGAACAATCTTAATTAGTTGAGAGTGTTCATTAATTCATACAAACAAATCACTAGAGTGGCAATGAACATGCGAGCTATTATTATGGTTTGCATGGCCGCAAGCCTAATCTCCATGGCTTCTGCCATTGCCGGAACTGCCACTTACTATACCGTCTATGTTCGTAAGTATACTACACAAACGTACCACTCTAGCTCTCTCAATATGTGTGTGTGTTATTGATTGAGATATAGATTATATATTGAATTTTGTTGTTTGTCATGCAGCATCGGCATGCTATGGGTACCAAGACCAGGGAGTCATGATTGCAGCAGCTAGCGACGCCATATGGAACAATGGAGCTGCTTGTGGAAAAATGTATCGTGTTACATGCACAGGACCTACAAACCAAGGTGTGCCACAGCCTTGCAGAGGCAACGGCGTGACCGTGAAGATCGTCGATCGTTGTCCATCACCTGGATGCCAATCCACCATTGATCTCTCTCAAGAAGCCTTCTCCATGATCGCTGATCCTGCAGCTGGAAAAATCAACATCGAATACAACCAGTAATTAATTGTTATTGCATACACATGCACATTAATTAATTCCTTAATTTGTTTTTGTGTTTGTTTTATTATTTTGCGGCGAGACTAACATATGCTTCTCTTTTCTTGTGATTTTCAGGGTTTGAAGCTGTACAGAATTCAAACCACATACTGCGGATAAACTGTTACCGTTTTGTTATCTTTTATCTTTATGCTGAAATAAGAGACATGCCATGGAATTAATCTGTTTAATTCCCACGGACAATAATACCATGTAACCTGTCATGTGATTTGAAGAAATAAGAAATTCCATTTCCTATATTTGATTTTTTTTATGTATGTGTGTGTTTTCGGTAAGGTATTTGAAATGTGTGTTCAAGTGTTTGTTTAATTTTGTGCACACACTTGACTCCAATACTTGGAAAATTCAAAATTGAAATATATTTATCTTTATATATGTATGTGTATCCATGTGTGTGTGTATATACTAAGTTCCAATGGGTTGGTTTTGTTTCAAATTATGTAAACGTACTAAAATTTTTGAGTGCTTCATGTTTGAGATCAAATACTGTAATTCCATGAAGCTTATATGGTTTTTATAAAGCTAATTATAAGGAAGTTTAATCTTCCACATGTGCATAAAAATTTGTCGCACCATGCAATCAGTCAAATAATCGCTCTTGACTGGTCAAAGCATTTACGGACATTCATATCCATTAACATGAAAACGTTTGTGACTCATTTGTGATACGAATGAAATATTTGGATCAATATATATATATATATATATATATATATATATATATATATATTTCTGGTCTCACATCTGAGATCATAAATTTAAAATCGAAAACAATCATCGGATTAAAAATATAAAGTTACTTAGAGCATCCATCTAAGGTCATAAATTTAAAATCGAAAACAACTTTGGATAAAAAAAAATAAAGCTACTTATACCTAAATTTTCTAAAATCTTTGTAACGGCGAGAGACCGTAAACTAGCTCTTTTTAGATTGAGATTTTAAATCTAATCTATTTTTAAAACAGAGGCACAAATTTCTTTTCTTTACACGTAGCTACAGTACGTAAACTCCATAAAATTAGGGTTGTGCCGCCCAGTGCACAAAGTGGCGCTAGGCCCAATCGGAGTTTTTGCTTTTGTGCCAACTAACATTAATCAACTAATTTATGTTTAATTTGTACCTTTTTCTTGTTACAAGTCAACTAAAATCTAGCTACACGACGTATCTTAGATCAATAAAGTTAGATTATAAACAATTACGTACATATAACAATACAATCTATAGCAGGCCTATATATGCTTCTAATTAAAATATGTATATATAGAATCATTTTTATATATGATAGAGAAAGGTGCTCCGTGGCTATAAAAGGAGGCCAATTAATTACACACAAGTTTGAGGCATCACACAACTGATCGATCATTTTAGACAATAGTGTTAGAATAGGGTAAAAAGCAATATTACTGATCTGTGTTGTCAAACCAATCATATATAGGAGATGGTAATCAACGTTAACGTTCCCTCTATCATTATGGTGTGCGTTGCCGCATACCTAATTTCATTGGCTTATGGATCCTTCGGAACTGCCAGTTTCAATAACAATAAGTATCATACACTTAAGATAACTTCAACTTTTTTGATGTGAGTGAGACAGGAGTTCTTCACATTTACATCAAAATAGTCTGTCCAACTCTCGGACTTTAACTATATAAATTTAAAATTATTCTTTATAATTTTTGTATGTTAAGTTGATCTATTTGTTGAATGTACTATTAAAATTGTTAACATTCATTGGGGTCAGCCATATAAATTTGAGCTCTATTTTTTTCTCTCTCGAAAGTTTAAATATAAACATGCATAATGTTGTACATAATATGATTCGAACGCTCACCATTATTTTAATGTTGTTGTTTGTTGGCAAGTAGCATCGGCATGCTACGGATACCAGGACGAAGGAACGATGATAGCAGCAGCGAGTGACGAGATATGGGACGATGGAGGTGCATGTGGAAGAATGTACACAGTTGTGTGCACAGGTGCAACCAACCAAGGTGTGCCACACCCTTGCACCGGCAACAGCGTCACTGTCAAGATTGTGGATCGCTGCAAATCACCTGATTGTCAGGCCACCATTGATCTCTCTCAAGAAGCCTTTTCCGTCATTGCTGATCCTGCCGCTGGCAAAATCGACATCGATTACTAACACTAACACATTAAATTTTTTATTTTATTTTATTTTATTTTATTTTATTTTTTGTGATTTTCAGAATATGAAGCTGTCAAGAAACCCGATTACACGGAATTATTATTATTTATTTTTTATTCACTTTGATTGGAGACATACCTAAAAATGAAGATTTTGTTTGAAATTAATATGCAGATGCAGATGAAATTAATATATTCAGCCATCTAGTTGGAAAGAACTGATCTTATGGTGTTTTGCTCATTGGAGTGCTTATGATTTTCTGGTGCATAAGTTACTACTCTCTGTCGCTGTCTACTTTCTATGGATGGAAAGAAATAATAGGGCCTTCAGGAACACATCCTCATCCCCAACCTCGGTCATTTCTCAGATAAAGAAATGTTTAAAAGGAAGGTTAGCCTCAATTAAGCTAAAGAATGCTTCTGATCTGAGGAATGTTAGAAGACTTGAAGACTTGCAGAAACTGTTCTTGGATGGATGCAGCTATGCCTGTGCTCAGGCTCTAATTGTCCCTTAAACTTGGTCGCCTTCAATGAAAGTATTTTCTGGTTGATGCTTTCTTGGATGGTTGTTTCTTATGTTTGTATTGCATTAGGTTTACTTGAGCTTGCAGAAGGCCGAGTCTGTAGCATTTTTTGTATTTTGCTTGTTAGGTCTGGATTCTTATCACTTGTTTTTCGCTGGGACTCTGCAGCTGTTGTGCATCTTGTTGTTTCCTATCTTATAGGTCCCTCTTGTACATTTTTCTTCATTTATACAAGCTTATCCCTTAACTAAAAATATATATATATATATATATGCAGAAATTTTCTCCACTAATAGGGTGATGGACTCTCGGCTTCTTTGATATTTAGAGAGTAAAACTGAAACCATTCAATGAAAGATTAAGAGGAAGTGGTTCTATCAACCAAAACTTATATATATTTTTTTGTATAAGTATTATTTAAATTAAAGGACACCTTGAAGAATTGATACAGTTCAATGCACTTCCATTAAATAGAGTACTCTATCACTTAAATATATTATGTGTCTCGTATTAGTAATTCATTTTTTACTCTTACCATGGACAATTAATATAGAGAAATAATCAACTTATGTGCATCTAAACGATACCATTTCGATGCACTGAGTCTATTGTTGGATTCCACGTGGCCCGTATTGAGCCACCGAAACAGCTTCGTTGCGGCGCCTAAGATCCCTCTCTTAATATACGTAGTATTAATTTATGAATCCATGTAGTTAACCACATCATAGCATTTCCTCCCCTAATGAATTCATGTAGATTGAGCTCACATTCAAGCAACCATGTATCAATCGTAAGTACGTTCCAAACTTTGTTGTAAGCCTTATTATAAATTTATGAGCCAACACCAAAATCAAAAGGTCAATTTTAAACGTGGACGCAAAAACAAATACGATAATGGCTTTGTGGCCTTAGCTAATGAGTCCTCTTAGGAACATCGTGTTAGGGAATTTTCATAAATTTATAGGACACTAAAAACAATAAATCAATAAATGATACACCAATAAAATTCAAGATACTTTTAATAAAATAAATAATAAAACAATTAAAATCAACATTAAATAATAATACCATTGAAACTACAACATGAATATTGAATAAGTCATGGATATCAAAATGAATTAACCATAGAATTTATACAACATAAATTATCTCAACAATAGAAAATTAACACAATAATAGAAATTAAAATAGGAAAATAACGATAATAAAATGAGTAAGAAAGGACTGGCTTGGCTTGTATAATGAGAGGCATGCTAGACATTGTTCTAAAGTCCTATAGTCTCCATATGTGTAGGTATTAACGGTCTAATATGTGAAATATAAAATGTAATTGGCATATTTCGGTGATAAAACAAAGTCCACATCGAGTTGTAATTTTACATGTACATTTGAGACTCGCTTTTGGAAGCAAAAAACTCCAGTGAAACTACTCATGACAACTCCGGTTCAATATTGAACAAAATATAGTCAAGGTAAGTGTGTAAGAATCATTTAGAGTAGGGATAAAGTTGGATTAGAAGTAATTAGGGTTGGTTTTTTATTTTTTATTTTTTATTTTTTATTTTTTTATTATTATTTTTTTTTAAGTTCAACCAGTTGTACTTCATATTAGAACCGGTTGCATTACCTGACGAAAAACAACCCTTGGGAAAAGTCCAATCAGTTGCATTTTCAAGTAGGACGGGTTGCAATTCCCTGAACCAAAAAGGAAAGTTTTTGTTTTTTCCAACTTTTAATACCCTTTTGAGTCTAAATTGGAGGGGTGTTTTAACACGAAATTGAATAAATTTTCTAACCCCACTAGGCCTCTCTAGTTCTCTAAACTTATATTCACACACAATTGATCATGGCTATTTTATTGAAGATTTCAAAACCCTAAAAAAAGCCTTTGTGTTAGATTTTCAAAGTTTATTATTTTCTATTTTTGAGAGCACACACCATACACTTGAGTGATTTAAGTAGTTATTCATCATCTGATTGGAGTTTGTGTGATTGAAGATTTTACTACTATCGGTCGTCAGTCAGAATTTCTTTTCAACTTCAAAAATTCTGATTTTGAAGTAAAGGAGGAAAATATCATGCTTTGAAGGGATCAAGGCATTCGTAGAATGTTGGTTAATCTAGCAGCGATCCTTTTATAGAAATCAAGAGTAAGCCTAAGGTCGAGAGTTGTTGAACGAGAAAGTTGCAAAGCTAAGGACAATCAACATGCAATTAGTTTTTGGTAGAGTGATAGGGTGTGAACCCGAGTTGAAGTCATTTGTACTTTGCTTCATACATAGTGAATCTTTTTACTCGAGATTGCGTGACAATTTCTGAGGTTTTTTCGATTGTTAGATTTCACCGACTAGGTTTTCTCGCTAAAAACCTTGTGTTTTTCTAAACTCATTTTTTACTTTACTTGCACTTTAAGTTATCGTTTTGTGAGTGTTTTAAGTTACTTTTATTTCAGTAATTTAATTTAAACAAAAATCGAATAAAAGAGCAAGTTGAACCTATTCACCTCCCTCTAGGTTGCTTATCCATACTATTTTCTACAACCATTCCGTATTATGCAACTTATACAA